ATTGAGAAGGTGGAGGAGGAGGAGGGCAGGTAATTCCAGGCATCACTTAGTCATGGTGTGTGTGAGCCGGTTTGTGTTACCGTGTCTTTGATCTCGCTTCTGGCCGTGCCCTCTCTGCGTGGCCTGTCTGTGACACCGAGCCTCGCATGTCCTTCGGTAGCAAACCCCATAACTCTTTCTGGCTCCAGCACTGTTTTTTTTTTCACTGCTTTCCCAAGTGTGGAAATATTAACTGAACTCCGGACTTCTCCATCTCTGGCTGTAGCCTTGTGATCTCGCTTATATGCTCCTTTTGAGAATGTGCTCACGTTATTAATAGAGCCTTACCGAGGTGTGGAGCCTCTTTTGAAGCTTGATTTTATTTTTGATGCCTATAACAGGTGTGGGTTTAATAGGTTTGCTGTATTAAGGCTTTCTTTTTTTCTCGGCGAGCCCAGCCAGCCCTGTAAGCTGACACGACATGAAGGCCAGGCATGTGACTGCGCCCTGCCTCTAGCCTCACTTCACACCACGCAGTTGTGCTGCAGGCTCCCAGCAGCCAAGGCAGACTTAATTCAAGCTTTGTCTAAACCAGGAGGGTTTTGTGCCGATTGTATTTAAATCAGTCCGAGCAAAGCCCCTCGTGCATTCCCATCTGAGGGGCTGCTTGCTTTGATTTTCCGCTGTCAGCTTTCTAATGGGCAGCTGCTGAGGGGAAGTAAATGTGGCTCTAACAACAAAGGAGCGTGTTTGCACTGCTCTCTGCATCGATTTCACAGAAGAGGTTTGAAGCCATGGTCTAAATTAAACTGATTAGTGTACTCCAAAGGACAGGCTTGCTGCGAAGAGGAAGGTGAATTCTTCTCCTATTAGGTCTACTGGAAAATGTTTCACAGCCTGTTTATCAAACAAATATTCACAAAGACGCTTCGAACTAGGAAACCCACCGGGATTAAAGTGTAACTTTACCTCTAAAATACAAGCTGAGATTCCTGGAAATGCTGCAAGCTTTTGACTTTGCGCCACCTGTTGTTTTCCTGCCACCCCCTTCGGCTCCCTCCTGACTTAGAGCAAACCCAAACACGCTTTGCTTCGCTGGAACATTTTGCTTGTTTTTCCTGTCTCTGAGCAGCCTGGAGAAGCGCAGAGCATGCGTTTGCTTCCCGACGTTGTCTGCATCAGCTCGGTTCAGCAAAAGGCTGGCTGAGGCTAACCCAAATCCCCAGTAACCCCCAGGGGTCTGCTGGGGAGCAGGGCAAAGCACAGGGGCTGAGGGGCTGCGGCACCTCGTGGTGTGGATGAGGGTCAAGAGGTGGTGGCTGAAGGCTCGGTTCTGCTGACCCAAGGAGCTGCCACGTGCGTGCAGCTCGTGGTGTTAAACCCACCCAGCGCTGGCTTCGAGTCACCTTGGTGTACAGCACTGGGTTGTTACAGCCCATCTGCTTTAGCAAATGGGTGTCCCCTGGAATGAGGGTACCAAGCTGGGAAATGCAACCCTTTTAACTACATCCTCCCTTGTTCATGAGCAAATCCTCGTGGACTCGGGCTCCTCGGTCCCTGGGATTTCTTTTTCACCAGAGCAGCTTTCACTCCAAGCCCTTGGTCCTCGGCGAGGCAGTCGTGCAGCAGCTGAGGCCGGCAGTGCATTCCCACGCAGATGGATAACCCAGAGGTAGAGAGGGGTTAAGAAACTTGCCCAAGGCGGATGAGTCAGTGCCAGAGCTGGGAATAGAAAGTAAAGAGACTTGGCTCGTACTCCTGGCTCTAATTGCTCAATCTCGCGTTGAGGCCTTGTCATCTTATACTCTTGAGGTAACGCTGGCCCAGGCGAGGCGGGGAAATCTGTTTCCAGGCTGTGATACCTAAGGAGAGGGGAGAGGAAAAGACACCTGGAGGCAAATTGGTTGTGGAAGGACCAGTAATTTGTGCTTTAAAGCCTGGTCCAGCAATTGGTACTAAAATCTGATCTGTCACCTTTGAAGCCGAGGAATTGTAAACCAAGGAGCGAGCCAGGTAAAAATCCCGGCCTTGTGCAGTCAAAGGAGAGAGGTAAAGTTATAACTTCATCACTCGTCTTCCGTCTGTAAAACACCTTTGTGATAAGAGTTGGGAACAAAGGGAAACAAGCTGAAAGGATCCAAGTACTAACAGGAAGGGTTAAATCACATTTCAGCTCTTACTGTAAGAATGAAAAATGAAATGTAATCAAGCTAGCAGAAGGTTTGGACTACGTTGCGCTCATATCACATGCTGTGTATAGGAAAAGTCAGCAGGGCTGCTTTTGTTTGAAGTGCAGTGCTTTGAGAGGGTGCAGTACTTTGCAGCAAACTGTCTGACATTCCCCAGCTGGGACTGGCCCGGGATGGTGTTTGGAGCTGAGAGCTACATTTGGAGTCAGCCCATGTTTGAAGGAGACAGGGAGAGGGAGAGAAAGCAGCCTGTTGTTTTCCTGTGTGAAATAACGCATCCATCTCATCTGCCAGCTGCAGTGCAAGCAAAGCGAGAGGCAAATGGACAGGAGTCACCTGGAAACTGCGAGCGTGGCTCAGACAATATAGCTCTTTCCTGCCCTTTCCTTCCCTTCTTTAACTCAGTCCTCCGGGAAGGGCTGGGAGATCTGGCAGGCAGGCAGGCTGGATATATGTTGAGCAACTAAAGCACAGAAATATTAATACTCCAAAAAAATAACATTGGCTTCTGAGGAACAGCTCGTGTCCAAACTCACTCCGTGCTCTTACAGCCTCAGCTGCCCCGCGCAGGATTTGTCAGGTAGTTTATGGATTCTTCGTGTTCATTTGTACAAGCCTTCATTTCCTGTGCATTTACAGCCAGGTTCAGCTCAGCCATCGCAGCCCAGATGAGATCAGAGTTGAACTCGCAGCCCCTTCTTCAGCAGAGCTCCCAAAGCGTGTTGGGCTTTGCTTTCGCTGATGTCTGCGGCGAGGTACTTCCCTGACTCAGGTCGCACACGCTCATTTAACAGCCTCTGTTATTTTGAGAAGGGAAAAAAAAAGATGGAAATTTTTGAACTGGCGAGTTTTACCTATGGAGGCCTTGCAAAAGAAAAACCAGTCCTTACGGAAATGAAATCCTTCTCACCCGTGTGCTCAGTTAATGGAGGACACAAAAACCTGGGCACAGCGAGTTTTCCTGTTTCAGTCACCCTGTTAACAAACCCACCGGAGCTCTGTTCCTCTGCATGGTGTGGGTGTGAAAATTCAGCCTTCATTTCTAGCCGTGAATGAATACTGGTCATATCACTGCTTTTTGTACTGTTTGTGCCTGCAAAGCCTGCATGCCCGTAACCCACGGAGTAAGCGCTTTGGGGACTTAAACTATGACTTCCCTTTGATTTTCCTGAGGCCTTTTTGCACCATATTAGCAGAGCATTTCTGTAGTGGTGTAAAATCTGTCCTTAACGACTTGTGAGCCTGCACTGAATTACCTAAGTAGCATTTAAAGTCCTAGCAGCGTTTCTGGGACTATTTCCCCGGTGTGAGCGAGCATCGGGCGCTGCTCGCAGGGTGAGTCTCCAGAGAGCAAATTGTCAGGGGGATGCAGTTCATGGCCTCTTTCTGTTACCAGCACACGTGGCAGCGAAACAGTCTGGTTTTAGTAGTGGGTTAGGAGAGATCAGTGTGGGGAGCAGGACCCTTGCTACGTGCTATAGGAATTTTTGGGGGGCTTTTCTGAACACCTGGGTGAGGCAGGAGGAGACCGGCTCCCAGACACCCGGCAGCTCCAGTGCCTTGAAGGCTGCGGTGGGCTCAGGGAGCAGGTTTTTGTTTCAGAGAGCTGATGCTCTGTCAGGAGAGCCAGGGCGTCCCAATTTGCATTCGAGAGCGCTTTCAGTGGCGGCTGTCTCTTCTTCTGGTTACGCAGCGGGTAGGCAGCCGGATTAAGCCCCGGTACTTGTCTGAACCCTCTCTGCTATCTCTTATTATTCAGCAAGTTCTCAAGTGTCTGCTGAGCGTCTCTATTTGGAGTGCCTCACTCGCAGCCTTGCCAGGAATATCAATGACTGGTCTAAATTCACATCAGGCATGTGCTCTACTTCTGGTGACTAATGCACAATGAATTTTTTTTTAATTGGTTACTGTTCTCTCCGCTGATTCAGGCCAGAAAGGAGTCAGAGGAAAGGACTCGGGGATTTTTTAGTGAGACCTTGTTGAGTACAGATGAGGTCTAAAAGGTAATTAACTGTTTGACAGCTGTGGAGATCTTGAGGAGAGCTTGCACTGCCTCCTCTAAAGAAAAACATCAGATTGAGTCCTTCAGGCTGGTGCTGATAAGGCAGAGGATTGTTACAGGGTCTGATCCTGCAGGCAGTGCTTGGGCAGAGCTTGCGGTACTGCGGAGTCATCCTAATCACACAGTGGGACAGAGGTGGCAGAAGATGAGGCAATGTTTGCAGGAACAACCCGTCTTACAGTATTTCTGTGTGTTACAAATCATGGTAAATAGTCCAAAGCTGAGTGTTTTCAGAAGAATCCCTAGGAATTAGGGAAGTTTTGTAACCTTTCCTGAGACTGTATGTGCTTACCTGTTTCTTGCAGAAAGCTCTGAAAATCCCATCCTCCTTGTAAAAACATGGGCAGTTTGCTTAAACTGTTGCTCAGTGCTGCTTGCCTGCAGGATTAAAATCCAGCCCTGCAGAAGTTGCATGTAATGAGTCTGATTTGGAAGTGCAGGCTTGTAGGAGAGCAAGCCCAAACGACTGGAAGGAGAACTGATGACTTGAGTCAGGACTTGTGGAGAAGGGAAAGCCTTGTACCATAAGAGAAAAATTGTCCAGAAGCCTGCAAATGTCTGAGACCCAATCTCTGTAGTCACAGGAACGACATGGGGGTTAGGGAAGGTGTCCCTGGCATGGTTTTCTCCTAGGATTGCTGCTAAAGACGTGCTGTAAATCACCACGTGTGAACTCAGCGGCCAGCCCGAGCGCCTGCTGCAGCCTTGCTAGTCTCTTTGTTTTTCCAAGAGAACTAAACTGACTCCATTTCTCCTCCTGACCATTTCAGGCATCACAACAGGATCCGTAGCATTGAAGCAAGTCAACTGAAGCCCTACGTTACCCTGGAAACGTTGGACCTGAGTTTCAATGACATCACGGAAATCCGAAACGGCTGCTTTCCACAGGGACTTCACATAAAGGAGCTGTGAGTTTTTCTTGTTGGGAACTGCTTTTGTTGAGTTACCACAGCAGAGAAAAGGGCCTCAAACCTTCTTTAAAAGAAGGAAAGGGAACGACACAAAAAGTATGGGGTTATTCATCAGGATTTTAAGTGCAGAGGAGAATCAGATGGCAGCACATTGTCCTCACTGTCAGGTTATTTATTGAGCTTTTTCATTTGGGTTTCTGGCGTACCCATAAAGAATGCAGATTATTGTTTGTGTTGCACGGGAATGTTGTAGCAGTGAAAAGATGGAATTCATCCTCCAGGTGTTGGTGTTTTCACTGGAAGCCTAGAAGCCAGAGCTGTCTCCAGCAGAACAGTATCTTCTTCCCCAGTGTGGGATCTGTAGGTGCTGCTTCCTAGATCAGCCCCTTTGCATCTGGAAGGGGGGAGGGTGAATGATTATTTCATCATTACAGTTGAAGCGGTTATTGAGTGAAATCTCAGTGGCTAAGAACAGAAATCTCTCACTGGTAATTTGAAGAAAAAGGGGGGGGTAAGCAGAGTAATGCCCTCCCCACAGAGCTTTTTGCCTATTCAGAGAAACATAAAGTGGGAGTGAGCTGTGTTTTAGGTAAATTTGAAAAGGTGCAGACGGATGACTTGCATGCATTAAAGTCTGCACAAAAGTTACTGCCTCTGGTTGTAAGAGGACATAAGAGTGTGTGTTGTACCTGATGTTTGTTTGTTAATGTGTAAGAACAGCCTCTGTGCTAAGACCAGAGTGCGAGTAAGAAAGAGCCCTGGGATAGATGCTAAGGGAAAAATCTTAAGAAATGGGGAATGGCTGGAGTCATCCCGCACTAGAATATTCTCTGGTTTCTGGCTTCCACTCCAAACTTTCTGAAGCAGGAGGTTATAGGAGAGCTCTTGGGAATTGCACTGCACTTCTCCACATTCGTCACAGCGCTCTGGGAAAGGCACTGTGCTTTTTGTGCAGCCAGAAATCCAAGGGAACTGAAGCCACCTCTGTAATTTCACCAGCCTGTCTGGAGACCAACTAAATGCTGATAAAAGGAGATTTCTGACAGAACTGTTCATTTTTCTGCTGTGATTTATTGCAGCTACCTGGGGAGCAACAGAATCAGCACCCTGGAGCCTGGTGCTTTTGATAGTCTGTCACGGTCCCTGCTAACACTTCGTCTGAGTAAAAACAGGATCACTCAGCTTCCTGTCAAGGCGTTCAGGCTACCCAGGCTAATACAACTGTGAGTAGAAATGGGTGTTTTAATTAAACCTAGCCATGCTTTATGGAGACAAAATGCCCCTGAGGATACATGCACCAAATGTCACCCTTCCTTACCTGCTATTTGTAAAACTTAGAATAAGCTATGCACTGGTGCCCTGCCAGCACCGAGTAAAACATACTGGGAGAGTCCTTTTTGTCTTGTAGCTGTTGACCTTTCAGGCCATTCTTTTGGTCAGGTGGGGAGGGATGGGAGCAGCAGCAGGCATCAGCGTCTTGTGCATTGACAGGGTAAGACAAATCCATTCCCCTGAACGCTGCTGGTGTCTGTGGTGCAAGAGAGGTTTGGAAGGATGCGTCTGTTGGGAGTGACAGAGCTCAGCCACCATGTTAGGTTTTCAAGACCACACAGGTATCTTTATGTGGCAATAAAATAGCAATGGCGGAAGGTTGTTAAACTGCAGTGATATTTGGGCAGAGAAAATAACACTCTAGATGAGTTAACACACACAGAATTATTGTCCTGCCTGCAGTCTGCAGGGCAGGAGCTGCGTGGAGACACATAGACATCTGCAACTATAAAAATGCTTTATGTGTAAATAGTAGCTCTAATGGCTTAACTTTTCCCTTCTGCTTTTTCTGCTGGAGAAATGGTCCCAGCCTGTGACCTGTTGTGGTCTTTCTGTCAACTTTGATAGGCAAAAGATCAACTTCTGTCTATCAACAAAAATTCCACAAAGGCTGTTGGAACTCATGCCTCTAAACAGCAGCCTTCTGATTGAGAAGCAGATCCTTAAACCAAGACGTGTCTAAGGAATGGGTGTGCATCTGTGCTTGCATACTTGTAGGATTCATAGCCAATTTGGGATTGAACAGTGTAGGACAAGAACATGTGTGTCTTAGGAGTCTGTTGCCCCTCAGTTGGAAATTGCTGTCCATTAGCTGAGAGCTTGTAATACGCTGTGTTCATCTGCGTCCTGTGCAAACGTGTAATAAACCAAGGGTCAACTCAATCTATTTAGGAGCAGTTTTCACTGTAAGTTAGAGTGATTGGTATTCTTAGACCCTGGGACAGTCTCACAGCTGGTTGTTTAACCCTGTGAATAAACAGGAACGAATAGCAAGTTATACAGACTTGATGTGTTGTAGAATTTGTTGTGTAGAGTTCTTTTTCTGGCAAGGCATACCTCAGTCTAGGAAGTGCGTTAGGGCAACAGTCTTTATGCCTAAAAACTTTCTAATTGCTTACTTGACTTTAATTACACTCAACTTCAGTGCAACTTCAATGTTGTTTTTTTAAGCTTACTTTTTAAAAAAAGTAAGCTTGGAGTTCGTACGGCTTCGTCATCTTTTCCAAAACAATTTCTGATGTGGTAATCTTCATCATTTTGTTCAACACAAACACCAAGTAGGGAACTACCCCTAGGTTAGTCTTGCATTTGCAAAAAGGACATCCATTTGCAAAGCTCTATCTTCAACTTCAATGCATTGTGTTGGTGAACTTCTCTACTGCCATTATGGAACTGGGATTTCACCTGGCATGCCTTGATCTAGCAATCCATGATACTGTTTGATATGGGTTGGTGAATGGGGGTTGTGATGATGTTCCCATTGCTATTCTGGAAAAAAAAATAAAGGTATTCCCACGCTTCCAAGCTTTAGGGGTTCCCACTCACACAGTGGAAAAAAAAAAAGAAATTTAATGAACCAAGTTGGAGATCTTTGTATACACAGAATACTGACTGCCTCATTATTGGAACAACTTGTTTCAGTCTTTATTAGTTTCTTATAATAGGGAAAAATGTGAAATTTGTAAAGGGAACTGAAAGCTTTCCTTTCAAACTAAGCCATAAAGCTTCCTCTTAGGCTCCCAGTTCATATAGCACCCATTTGTTTCAGAGCACAGTTTTTACAAGTCCTGTAAAAACGGTGGGTTGTAAGGAAAACGATGCCGACGTTTAGTTGTGTCTGTTCACATGGTGTCTCTGCTTGAGAGAAGGTGAAGTGTGAAAATTGATGAAAAGGATAAATGGCCTAAAAGATATTCAGAGAGAAGAGGGTTGAAGAGGAATTGCCGCACTGTCTGTAATTCCTCTGTAGTGAGAGTCTGTCCCAGGGTGAGTTTATTTAAGAGATCACACCCAGCTGACTTCCCTGGCTGGCTCGGGGATTGAAAGTTTCCGGCGCGCTTCTGCTCTCTCTGGGAAAAGTGGATGGAGGAGTTGTTGGCATTGCTGTCCCCATTGTGTGCTGCGCAGACGATTTCGTGAGAAAGGGCTGGGATTTAATATACTTGTATGGCCTTGGTGATTTTAGGGAGCTGAACCGGAATCGCATCCGCCTGATTGAAGGCCTGACGTTCCAGGGACTGGACAGCTTGGAAGTCCTGAAACTCCAGCGCAACAACATAAGCAAATTGACTGATGGGGCTTTCTGGGGGCTAGCCAAGATGCAAGTTCTGTAAGTTGCATTCTTTTCTCTTAAACAGCCTAGACTTCACCTGTTATCTTGTCCTTTTCTTCTTTTAGCAAGGACTCCCCTCAGAGTGCCAGTCCTCATGTTTCTTTCTATGTCCTGCATGCACAGAACTGCAGTGCTACAGCAGCCTTTGTCCCATTGCCCCACTGTCAGCTCAGTGCCAGGTGTTCAATAAAAAAAATCCAGTTTTTCAAGCTGTGGCAGTATTGCTTTGTAAGTTTGATGATTTGAACACTCCGTAAGTTCCCAACTGGGCTTTAAATGAAAGCCTTTCTGGCTCTGCAAATTTCTTTCAACTGATACATGGAAACTATGTGCTGCAGACCTGATTATTCTGCATCTTGGGAAACCTAGAAACCAAGCCAGCCTATCTTAGTGATGCGTTCTTTCCATACAAGAGAGCACACTGAACAGTCATTGCAGAGAAATGCTTGAAACTTGCAATGTGATTGGCTTTCAAGTGTGTTTGCGGGGTCACAAGTGATCAAGGCAGTGTGTTTCTGGAAGCTGCTGTCATGCAGCTGAGACTCTGCAAATACAAACTCCATTGGGATGCTCTAAGCCCAGTTTACGTGCAGTGGAGCGTACCTCAGTCACACCTCAATCTGGGCCTTAAGCCCTCAGAATATACCAGCTTGGTGCCTCCTGACTATGATGGTGGCAGAGAGTTGTGCCTTTGTACTGCAAGGTTGTGTGGGAGTGCGTGGTAGAAAGCCTTTTGCTAAGTGAATACCTTAGACCTTTTGCTTGTGTTGCTCTTGAATTTCTATCCTTTCTTGCACATGAAATGCCTACGCGTGGGTGTGTCCACATAGGTATGTAGGAAATATGTGTAGGAATGGCAAAAACCCCAGTTCTTAGTGGAGATTCTTCGTTGTTGGGAATTCTTCAGCATTTGACCAGTGTTGCTTATCTGTCGATTCCTTCTGATTTTTCTCTACAGCCACCTGGAGTATAACAGCCTGACAGAAGTAAACAGTGGCTCTCTCTACGGCCTTTCATCTCTCCACCAGCTTCACCTCAGCAACAACTCCATATCCCGCATCAACCCCGATGGCTGGAGCTTCTGCCAGAAGCTGCATGAGCTGTAAGTTGGTTCCCCTCGTGATTCATTGGGCAGGGTTTGATGCTAATGTAACGCTGGCAGGCAAGGTAAGGACTCTTCCCCCATCACATGGCCTGCGGCTTCCACTGTATTAACATGTAGAAATGCAGGAACTGCAGCCTCCAAGTGGTGCCCTTGTTATTCATGATGTTATGACCTTCAGAGCACCTGTTTAAAATACTTTTGACCATATACGTTATTGTATACTGGAAGTGTACAGTGCCAAAAGATGTGGAGAGCTTGTGATCTGGGGCTTGCCAACACTTTCTAGCTAGCTAGTTACAAGACATCTGCTGCTTGCCATATAATGACTGTACAGCCTGAAGGAAGCTTTGCTTTGTCCTGTGTATTTACAAAGAATATTCTTGGTTTTAACCAGCGGAGGTTTGGCCCTTTAAAGGCAGTTGTCCTTTCTCCTATTTACACTTTACCCTTCCTGTAGGGTTCAGTTGTTGAAAAGTAAACACACTGACTTTGCTCTCCTGAGATTTCCTGCTGTGAGTATGGTCTCTTTGATAAATGAAAGAAAGCCGTGCTGTTGTGGATAGCCCCACAAGGGCGCCTTTTGGGCCTGTGGCACTGCTTAATGCCTTTTTGAGGAGACACACATGGATGCTTGCAGTATTTACAGAAGTAGCTGTCATCCCCTCGGTGGGACTGTGGAAAGATTCACTTTTTTTCTGTGGAGAACTTGACGCATGTGGTTAGTGGAACTGCAATTCATTCTGCTTGATGCTCGGAAATCTCTTGTTAAACATTGTTACGGGTTCTCCTGTCCACCAACAAGCAGTACAGTAAAGCAACGTCCTGTTTTCAGAGACCTCCCTCTGTACTCAGACTAAGGGTCTGTAACTGCATACCCAGCTGTGAGTCCCTCACTTTTTGGCATGTAGATTCAAAGGCAGTTGGACATGACACGCCATCCCATTGAGGTTAGAAGCTGTAGAATGAACCTGTAGTGCAGTGGCCAACTGGGATCTTTTGTTGAACCCAAAATACTCATTCAAATGGGGATTTTTCTTTTGGCACAAGGAAATCTTTTGTTTTTAGTTTAATACATATGTGATTGTTTAATTACCTAATTTTTCAAACTGTTGTGAAACTGCCCATGCCTAAAGGGCTCCTTTGCATAGTGCTGTAGACAGCCATAGTTCCTTCACGTGCAGATTTGCAACTGATATTTTACTACGTTAAGGCAGAGTCAATGCAGAAGTCTTCAAGAGAACAGATTAGAAACAACCACAGCCTGCTTAAGTCTGAAGCATCAAAAAGAGGGGAGTCTACCTTGTTAAGGCACTCACAGCTAGATCCCTGGAATAGCCAAATTCAGATCACTACCAGATCACTACACTGATTTAGTAGTACAGCTCTGGGAGCTTTCTGCTTTGGGATCCAGTGTCTGGTGTCTGCATTGAAGCATGAGTTCTGATGGGATGGGTGCATCCCATCTGTGCCTTGCATTGCTCACGTTAAAATTCTCTCAGGGAGATCTGTGCTTGTCTCTTCTACCTGACACTGTCTTTGCAAACCCTTAAGATATTGATGAAAGGTTACACCTAGTGCCGAGTCCTTTCTATGTCACATGTGGATTGGGATCTCCTACCACAAGTAGTGCCCATGGGCAGCTGTTCTGGCCTAGAGGAGCTTGTTTGGAGTCACTGCAGCAACCTGGTTGCTTTTTTGCCCCGGTGCAGAATGGAGCAGACTTGGAAAAGGGCTGGTGGTCGGAGCCACTGAGGCATGCTTGGCCTGACAAACAGGATTGTGCTAGAGTGTGGGGCCAGGGACGACAGAGCTGAGATCCGAAAGGTAATTATGCGGGTGTTAGCACACATCTCTGCAAAATATTACAAGCTGTTGCAGATGTTGCCTTTAGGGTAAGGCTGCTACAGAGAGCTATCAGATACCCGTAACTGAAACTCCCACAGCCAGAGAGTGCTCGTAGGAGAGGTCTGCTCTGAAATTGAAGGGTGAGGAAAGGAAGCGCTAGATACATCTAGACTGCCGCTGTGCGCTCCTTTGAATGTGTCTGTTACGTTCTTATTAAAAGATCTTTGCTCACCTCCCCTATTACTAAATCTGCTGGGTTTCAGTTATCAGACAATATTGCCTCTGGTTGTACAGGAATGAATTTCAAAGTCCTTGATTGACAAAAAGAGAGACCCAGACCTCCGCTGATCTGTGACGAGGGAGGAGGCGAGCATCTGAAGAGTTGCCTCTCCTTCAGTTGTCAGGAGAAAACATGACTCCGAGTCTCAGTCTGATGCAAAATGCAACAAGAAAAGAGATCTCTTGCCTTCTCATGGGCACGAGAAAGGGCTGATTGTATTCGCCGGTCAGGTGCTAAGGCATCAGTATCATGGAAAAATCCACAGTGGGAGCATACAATTTCATCAGATGTAAATGATGAATTGGCTTCTGGGTCTTTTTTTTTTTTTTTCTTCAGAAAGGTGAAGAAGCCTCGCTTCTTACCTATGGTTTGGTCAGTGGGAAGGAAAGGAGGTAGACGTACCTGGTCCAGAACTGTCTGGCAGCAGGAGCTGCAGCTGCACAACAGATTTCCAGTTAACTGCTTCATGTATCGCTTCTGGCAGGCTGCTTTTTGGGTCACTCTTCCACTTCCTTCCCAGGCTAAAAGGGCCGTGTGTAGGCAAGGTATTTCCATGTGTTTGTCCCAGTGATTTCCCTCTGGTAGAGAGATGAGAAGGGGCAGTGGCAGAGACCTGCTGGCTTCTCTCAACCCAGATAATCCAAACTGCCGAGGAGAGGAACGCACTCTTTTGCAAACTGGCCTTTCCCACTGGCAGGAAGCAGAGACCGAATGTGTTGAAGGAAGCCGCTGCCAGGTGCTTCAGCCCCTGAAACCTCCCAGCTGGTTACAGCCACTGAGACAGACGCTGAAGGCTGCTGCTGTCCATCCGTCCTGGTGACGTCAGGAGGAACGGATGGGAACATGCTTTCACCAGTTGTAGCAGGAACCCTTCTGTGTAGAATCAAAAGGAGCTATTTTTTTTTCCTCAGCCAGGTTTAGAATTACTTCTGAACGCTTCTTTTTTTTAAGCCAAATTCTTTAATCGCAGGTGAGGACATAATTTTGACCAGATGCCAGTTCTTCATAACTAACACTACAACTTCTTTAGGAATGAAAGTATGTTGTCCCATACCTTCTTCAAACTCATTAATCTTTGCTGATTTTTTTCCAAAGCTTGCCCTCTGCCCACTCACACAGCTAAAAGATAGACAGCTTGTTTGCCAAGTAAATGACATTCGCAGTGCTTAGGAGTATGTGTCTGTTTTGACTTAGGTTTTGGCTTTGCAGCGACTTTCATGCAAGCCCTAGACACATTTTTAAGCAGAGTTACTAGCAGAAAGGACTAGAAAAGGAATTTGGAGGTTTGGAACTCAGATTTTTCTTGTTGCTTGTATAATAAAGGATTTCAGTGCTTATACAAAGCAGCACAACCCCACTTTTTGAAGTTAGCTGTCTGGTGCTTCACAGCTTCTGAAAAGACTTGTGCTCCCAGGTCACCAAGGTATTTCCTAAAATCCTATGTAACTGCCCTATGTAGAGAGACACTTGAGAAAAAACACGAGAGGCAGGATGTATCTGAACGATAGCTTTATAACCCCTGCCCTGTAGGCAACTTAGAGCTGGGCACACTCGTGCAGGGCACCAGGAGCTGTGGTTGAGTGCTCCAGGCTGAGGATCACTGACCGGTGACTTTGCCCGTGGCTTTCCCCTTTGCTTATTGTGTGAGGGGTGTGCAGTAGCAGGGAGCTCCCCATGCCCTACTCTCAGCATCCAGTCCCAGAAGCCTCATCTGTGCCTTGGCTGGGAGAGAAAATCAGCTTTCTCCTACCAGCTTCCAAACTGCAACAAGAGTAGCACTGAAAACAAAAACCAACAGAATAAAACCAATGGGAAGAGATGGCTGAAAGAAGCAACCCTCCAATATTAGGCACTCGTAAGTGGTGATGATTTCAGGCAGACTGTATGCTCCCTGACAGAGGGGAGCGGGAGGGAAGGCGGCTGGTGTACGGTGGATAGATGCCTCCTTCCTGTGGATGAAAGAAAGCATTCAATTGCCTTGTGGTGAAATGCTTTTGGCTCTAGACTCGGGTGGAGACACCCACGCCCAGGTGCCTGGGGCTGGCGATGCACAAGTGCGGACCGATAAGGCACCTCCTGAATACTCAGGTCTGAACCCTGCCAAGGGTGCATGCGAACTTCAAAATCTTTCGGTCTGGCAGCACTCCCCACCTCGCAGGGCAGAGGGAAGACAGGGACTGCTTTTTCCTGTAAGCCTCAGAGGGTGTCCAAGCAGGAGAGAGGATTGAACAAAACCAGGACTAATATCCCTTGCTGATATCTCAATGCTATGGGGCTAATTAAACCTGTCCTATATATCAGGGGGCTAAGGAAGGGTGCTGCTGCCAGGTCCTAACGTCACCATGCAGTCCATGGAGAAAGAGTAGCTTCTCCCCAGCATAACAGCATCTGTGTTAGGCTGTTGCTCTGATTCACTTCTGGAGGAGCCTCTCTCCCTCCTTCCCTCCAACTCATGCTCGTAAGACTTCCCTATAAGCGGGTGCCAAATGCCTCCTGCCCCATGGTATCGTTGGGGAATATTTGCAGGCTGCAGTGTTGTTTCCTAATCAGGTTGTTATGTACCCACCCCGTATACATCGCCTCTCGTAAGAGTGGTGTGGGAGGCAGGCACTGGCTGGTGCAGAGGAGTTTGGAAAAGGCTGGTTGGGCTGATGGGGCTGTTGTTTTTCTCCTCAGAATACTCTCTTACAACAACCTAACCAGGCTGGACGAGGGAAGCTTGGCAGACCTCGGGGGACTGCACGTACTGCGATTGAGCCACAACTCCATCAATCATATTGCAGAAGGTGCCTTCAAGGGACTGAAAAACCTGCGCGTCCTGTAAGTTGCTCTCAACTTGTCAGATAATGCAATACCCACCTTCCCTCTACAGTTTATGTTCTTCCAAACTCTTCTCCTTCTCTTTGCTTTGCAGCTGTTTCTCAGCTGCAAACTCCCCTACACGCAGCTCCGTTGTCTTGAGCATCTGTTGTGTTTACCCGTTATTCAAATTCAATGAACTTCTATTTTTTAATTAAGAGTAGTAAATTGCAACTGGACTACTCACTGTTGTAGGGTGCTTTTTAATTAGGGAGCCCCAAAAGCTCCCGCAGGAGCTCCTGGCTGCTCCCCTCCCCTCTCCAGAGGCTGCCCGCTCGGCGCCTTCACCTGAAACCCCACCAAGTTCCCAGCACCCGAGTTACAGAACTGGCCAAGCTTCCAGACTTGTTGAGTTCAGCAGGCTGATTTAATTCTTCCTTCAGAAGGAAGAAAACACACTTTGATACCTTTATTCCTCTTCAGAAGCCCATTATGGTCTGGGTAATGAAAAGGAAATGGGAACAGAGAGATCTCCCCTCTTTACAGTACTTCTCGCATCCCACTCTTCCCTTTATTGAAGTTCACAGTGGAGGAAGTAACTGGAAAGTGAGTTTGGGTTTTGTTTGTCCCCCCCCGCCTTTTTTTTTTTTAAACTTAAGCCAAAGCCTTTCAGCCACTGGGCATTCAGAAAGGGCCTTCTCGGAGGCAGCTGTCAAGACCGGAACTAAAGGTTTCCAAAGAAAAATGGAGGGGAAGGGGAGCTGGCCGGTCCCTTTGCTCGGCAGTGAATGTGGAGCCTCTTTTATGTTCAGGGCTAAGGGGGGGGAGGAGGAGAGGGAGTGTGTGAGCGAGCTCTAATTTAATAAAGAGAAAGGCCCATTGGGTCCTGCACCTGGTGAAAAAGACCCGAGCATGCTTTAATTATGGCCCATTGTTGGGGAGCCTTTGGTGGGTGTGAAACTGCTGAAATGTGGAGCTATTCAAATAGAGGTCAGGCCTAGAGACCTCAGAGCACAATGATTAACAAGGCTGCGAGCATTCAAGCTCAGCCAGCCAGAAAGAATAGGAAATTGGCAACAGGGGCTGGGAGAGGAGTTTGAATACAAAGAGAGCCAGGCCAAAGTACCCCACTCTTTTTTTTTTTTTTCTCTTTATTTTCACCCATTTGTTGGGAAGGTTTTTTTCCTCCTTTCTAACACTAAACCTTTGAGCTGCCTCTGGATGAACAAGCAATACCGTTTTCTTTTCCTTTTTCAAGAAAACACAATGTGTGGCAGTCAATTAATAAAAGTGCATGTCAGAGGGTTCCTGCGGGCTGTTCCCACTTGTCTGCCTTTGCCATGGGAAAGGCTTCGCTGGTCCAAAGACCAGTAGCCAGTGGTGGAACTGAGCAGGACAAATGTCTGAGAAGGGATTTTTTCCTTAAAAACCAGACAAACAGAACAACTGGCATGGGCTTGGCAACTGTAGGGGAAGGGTAGAAACTCAGCTCCGGGAGGATATATTTGGTCTCACCCATCTTAGATAGCACAGTAACTGTCAGCACATCAAACCAGCTCTCCTGGCATTGTCTCTTCTGCCACCACAGCATTCTTTGTGCCCAGACCCCACTGGGGCGTTGGGTTTTTCTCCATCCTCTTGGCATAGACATACCCACAGATCACCCTGACATCCGTAATAATGCTGGCTAAGGCGAGTGTTCCCCAGGGCCACGGCAGTCAGGTCGCACGCTGAAGGCAGCTGAGAAAGAGGATTTGTGGCTGTTGGCCATCGCCTTTCACATCTTTAAGTTCACACACCAAGGCTGAGAAAGCCCACAGCCAGCTTAGGTACTGAGGGCAAAAAGCTCAGCCCCATCCCCACTGAGGAAAGGCATGTGCATACCGAAGCTGCAGGGTTAGTTCAGGATTATTATTGTTCTCTTCATATGTTTTGTTGTGTATTTGTGCATCATAGCCCAGAAGTTGTACTGTGATACCTGTGCCTGGCATTTTAAGAAATACAGGGGGCTTTGTTTTAGATTTTTTTTTGTTTTGGTATGTTTAAACTGGGATTGTTCTGATAATAATCTTCAAAAGGTGCGAAAGAGCACCTGAGGGTTCAGGGGGTTATCTGGATGATTTTGCTTTGTTGTTGGTTTTTGCTAGGTTTTAAATCTGAATGATGTAACAAAACCAACAAAGCCTATTTATTTTTTCCTTTCTTTTTACTTACCATTAGAAATGATAAATTTCTGTCTGTGTTGCTGGGTACTCATTTCTAGCTGGAACCAAAGCGCAGGGGGGAAGGATTTTTAAACAGACTGTTTAAACAGCTTTTGTGGATCTTTTTGTTTGTTCTGTGTGCTTGTTTTTCTTCAGACCCCTTTGACTTTCATAATTGATGGTGGATTTGAAAGCCAAAAGAAGCGAACTCTGAAAAAGGAATTCTTACTCTTTTTTTTCAACAGTTACACAGAGTTAGGCTTGTGCAATAGTGATAGGGTTTTCCTTTGTTGAGCTTTCAAGTTCATTGCCAGAAAAAAAATGCAGTTTCATAGAAAATGAACCAAGTCATCTTCCTAAGATATGGCTGTAGACAAATAACTGTAGACAGGAATAGCCAAATTTATCAATTTATGATGGTAGCATTTAGGGACAACTGTTAAACCTTTGCTGTTCAGGTTTAATGTGGCCTCTATCCTGGTGGAATTTGAATTGAGTGAGAAAATGAAGAAATTATTTGCCTTCAGTGGGCACCATCTGTGTGCAGTGAAACTTCACCATCGGAGACTTAACGCTGATGTAGGTCTTTCCTCACCTCATCTTACCTACCAGTTCCCTTCAGTTGTTTCAGTTTACTTTGAGGACTTTGAGCTCGTTTTTCCTCCTGCTTAGAAATACAGAGAAGGTCTAAAACCTACATAGTTTTAAACAGTAGCTATCAGCTACTGTTGCCTCAGAAGCAGAGGGTTTCAGCTAGAGAAAAAGCTGGTTTTAGAATACATCAACTCAACGTGGGGCAGTGCAGGAAAAGCAGTTTGTATGTTATTGCTGCGGGACTCAGCTTTTTCTGCTGAGTGTCACGAGGAAATGGGAAGCTCGCTCTTTGCCATTCTCAAAGTTTCTGTTTGTTTTGAATGATGACCCTAGGATTTAGACACTGATTATGAGCTTTCTCTTGTCCTCTCCCCAGGGAACTGGACCACAACGACATCTCAGGCACGATAGAAGATACCAACGGAGCCTTCACAGGCCTAGAAAACCTGAGCAAGCTGTGAGTATCCCTGGTTCTGAAGTTGTGCAAAACAGTTGTGTGCCTGTGTGGGTCGGGTCTCTCCCCTCTGCAGTCTTCCTTCCCTTGGAACAAGTTAGAAATCAACAGAAAATCTGAGACATGGTGGTTTTGCAGGCTCCCTGCAGGAGTACAGATGGGGTTATCAAGCACTCGTGTTTCTAAGCAGGCAGGAGGCGATCCTAGGCAGTGACCATCACTTACTGTGTTGGATGCTGCAGGGAGGAAACACCAGGGAGAGTAACTTCAGTTCTTTTCAGATATGAGATTGAGCACAACTGGTCTTTGCTTCCAAAAGCACACAGCAACAAAAGACCCCTTGCAATCTTCAGCGAAGCAGTGATTGATGCAGCGAGTAACAATAAACAGAAGAGAAAAATCTTACCATTTCCTGTTACAACAGAGGGTTGAAGCAGGATTCGTTTCTGTGGGATACTCTGTCTGAGAATGATCTTTTGGGCTTGCTTCCATGTGCAGTGACAATAAAAGGCACCATGGGGCATAGACTCTTAAAGAGATAAAAAGAAACCTAAGGCAAGCATGCGCCTTGCAAATGTTTATTGCTTGCTTGGCCCTCGCAAGTATTTTCACATTGCTCTGTACTTGTTCGTGTTCCATTTGAAATCAGTTACATAAATCAGCGCTGTCAGGGAAGTCTCTGATGGCTTGTGACAAATCAAGAGCCTTTCTAATCATTACCTCTTGCCTTTGTTTAAGTTCTCAGCACCCCCCCATCACGCTGTCTCTGATGCTGCGATGGCACAGCTAGAGGTGCAGTAAAAGTACCTCGATGGAGAGCAGATGGCTAGAATGAATCCTGGCGGGCGGTATATTGTCCTGTTCTCATTACAGCCTCCTGGGGGAGTGGGAAGAGCCGTGGCAGGGCTGGTGGGGATGTGACGCTGAGATGGAGGAGGAAAAATGGAAGGCACAGACGTAGATGGCATGGGATCATTGCTGAGGGGAGTCGCTGGATCCAAGGAGAGGGGAACCAAGCTGTAGCTACAAGTAAAGCGAGGCAAAAGGTGGGGAAGGAGCTGAGGACAGGGGGAGGCAGGCAGAGAGGTGAGAGATGTGTGGGAGGGAGAGCGGGCAGTCAGGAGATATTCCCACGAGCTGCCAGAAAAAAGGCAGAGGCGGCAGATGTGGTGGGGGAGGAGGTGGCTTGGCTGACGCTGCCAAAGTTTTGGTGCTTCTGCTGAAACCAGTAAGGATGGCCGGAGGGGCAGTGGGAGCAGAGGCCTTGTCCAGAGGGAATTGCAGGCTGAAGGACTGAATCTGAAAGTTGTGCTGCTTCGACAAGGGAGAGCAAGCAGGAGGAATGAGTGGGGGGTCAGGCAGAGGCCAGGAGGTGCGGGAGGAGGGCAGGAGCCTGCAGGGCTGTGCGGGGTGGGTGCGTGGGGCTCAGGGCAGGGCAGCTCTCGATCCCTGTGAGCTGTGGCCTGTCTGACAGCAGCCAGCACAGCAGCGGCTTCGGAAGGTGGCCGGTTTTCTTGCCATAGGATGGAGAGAGGAGCAGAGAAGTCGCTGGAGTCATTCATGGTCACTGTAGGGCTGGAAACCCCTCGGAATATGAGATTAGTGCACTCTGGAGCATTCTGGAGACTTGGGGGTGTTCACTCTTAGAGGGATCTGCACAGCTCTGCTCCAGCTCATCAGCACTTAAATCCCCAACATGTAATTTCTTCTAAGACTGAAACGAGTGTTATTCTTGCAGGGATTTTTTTTTTCTTAAATAAAGTAAAATATCAGCCTCTACAGAGGTTTCACTGCCTGATTTAAAGCCTGTGTTTAAACTGTCAATAGGCTTTAAATGCATTAGCATACAAAAAATAAATGGGCACTTCAGAGGAGACCTTCCAATGAATTAATAATCACCTCAGCTCTGTGGAGATTGCCTTAAAAGCTGCTCCCCTTTGATCTGGCACAGATTAGCCTCTGAAAGGATTTAGCCAGGAGAGGGCTGTTCGCTGAAATGAAGGTGTTAAACTGAGAGGTGGGGAGGGCAGCCACTTTAGCCTTCTCTGAATTATATATGAAGCTCTCCAGGCTGGAGAGCACAGGCCTAAATTAAAACGTTTCTGCAAGAAAGGGAGAGTCAAAGAAGCACCGAAGCGTAAAAAGCATCGGTGGGCTCGCCGGGGAGCGCCGCGCTCCCTAATTATTCAAGCTGCCCAACGCACCCGCTTTCTTGACGGCTCACTCAGTGACCGAGGTCTTCCTGCAGGTGCAGAACTGGCTGGGGGAAGAGAAAATGCTGCTTCCTAATGAACTGCGTGCCTGGCGTGCAGTTACACTCGTGCAGTCACCGGGAGAGCTCGCTTGTGCCCAGCTCCACGGAGCGCGGCTGGGCTGAGTGGCTCTGTGTGCGCCTCCCTCTGAAGGGGGCCTGCTGGGTTCAGAGCATGCCCCCGAGTCAGAGAAGGGGCTGTCTGAGGTCTGAAAGGCATCGTGGCTTTCATGAGTTGGCTGGAGCGCAGTGTCATTCCCAGTGCGTTGTGTATTTCCCATGGATGTAACCATCAAAGCGTAGGCACCATCACACGCAGCGCAGGAGATGGGTGTATCCACCCCCCAGGCTCCCTGCTTGCCTCTGCCTGGATGGGTAAATTGACAGAATCGGTATCTCAGATTCTCAAAGTTCAAGATCTGCTGTAAACCACACGCAGAAATCTCCAGTTATCAAATCCAAACCCAGCACAGCGCTCGTTCAGGATTATGGTTCATAAATGAGTTTGTCTGGCTGCTGCCATGTGGCCCGTGTGCATACAGTGAGTGAGTTACCCTATTAACTGTTCTAATGGGCTTCTCAGAGCCTGCATTAAGACAAGATACCTTTTACCAGATGAAGGTACACGTGCCTGCAGACAGCCCTTGCTGCTTGGGGTGTTGTATAAAGCTTATAGCTTGCATAAAGCTTGTGTATGTAGCTTGTGTACAGCTGTTGCTTTATACACTGATGTAGTGTAAAATGCAGTAAGGAGAAGCTCTGATACGCTGGTTTTGGAGCTGTAAGAGGATGCTCAGGACAGCTCTCTAGGTATTTAGAACAATGCCCCTCCTAGAGCAGGCTACTGCTCTCTGGAGCCTTGCTGAGCCCCATTTTTCCTTCTGCTCGGTGTGGCACAGAAGCTGTTCTTTCTGGGTGGCAGTGGCAAGCCACCAGCTTGTCCCAACACTCGGATGGTGCTTTGTGGAGAGCCCTGAGAAGCTCCTGCAAATGGATGAGCTCAGATAATGGCCACACGTTTCATCTCGTACCCCAGCCTCCTTTCTGCAGCTGGTAGCGAGCAGTGCAGTGAGCACAATTTTGGAGCCTCATTAGCACGTAGGTGGCACCCTGTGTTTGAGGGAAGAATCTTGCAGGAAAACCCAACCAAGCAGAGCACCTGACGTGGCAGTCCTTTTAGCGGAGCTGTCAGCAGTGACTTGTGCTGGACACCGTGTGAAGCAAGGGGGGGGATAAAAGATGTAAAAGATGCACCTGGAAGACAAACCTCACACAGAGAGAGCTGGGGGAAGGAAAGAATTTCCTAATTAACGACATCGGTGGATGTTTTTTTTTAAACAGTTGAGGGGCTCATCCATTTTGCATGAACCCTGCCCCTGAGCAGTCAGCACCGGTCAATATTTACAGAGCCCTGTACCTCTGCCAGCAGCAGCTGGGCTGGGCTGGGCTGCCTGCAGCTGCCTCGGCCGGTGGGGAGGAAGGCTCCGCGGCCACAGATGGAGGCAGGCGTGCTCCTCAGCTCAGGGCTGTCTGTGCATTATTGCCTTTTCTCTTCTTCCCTTTGGCCCTCGAACTCACCGCGCTGCTCTTATTTATTGTGTAAAATGTTGTGTTTGTAAGAGGCCAAGGAAGGAAGTCGGCGCTCCCGTGGGCGAGGTGCTGTGAGCACGCAGCCCAGAGGCAGCCCCTGGATGCGGATACCCGATCAGGCCGAGCTGCAGCGAACAGATCGCTGCTCTTCTACTGCCTGGGAAGAAGTCAGAAATGAAAAGTGGTGCAGGGAGAGTCCCAAATCCTGTTAAACTGTCATTGCATTAATCCTGTCCACAGCCAGCCATCAAAGACTGGAGGGACCTTTCCAAGCATGGGAGCAAACCTGCCTCTTTCCGTGATACGGCACATTCCCTTTTGTGCTGTCATCACTATTAAATTCGAATACAGATAAAAGGATTTAATTTCAGGAGCGGGAAAGCGAGTGCACTGCAGCCCTCTTAATCTGCACGCAGTTCAGATTTCCTGGGACTTGCACCGAGCGCGTCCATCAGATAAAGCCACGCTAATTGTGTTCCTTCTTTTTCTGCCTCCCTCTCCCCGTTTGCTTTCTGTTTATCTGGCACTGGATGTTTGGAAACTGCAGAACTCTGTTTGGAAACAAGATCAAGTCGGTGGCCAAGAAAGCGTTCTCAGGGTTGGAGGCCCTGGAGCACCTGTGAGTAACCCACCATGCCTTGGAGTTGGGGAAGGGGGGGCTGCCAAAAGTAGCTGCTTGAGAGATCTGCTAGCAATTTAATAGCGTCTTTGTAAACTGAGAAGCCAGTCCATTTGTGGGGGCCACCTGCTTCCTTCTCATTATAAGTCCGCCTCAACTTTGGCCTTTTTTTGTGCCAGGAACAAAGTTATAGAACATATGGCAAATCTGCATGCTCTTAATTTTTTGATTTGTTCTTGGATAAATATCGCCTTGCACATTGCTTCTTTGCAGGCAGTTAGCGATGAAAATTGGCGGTTTCAGATGTAGGGCTCCCTCCTCTTCCCCTGCCCAGACTTCCTGCTAAATCTGGAGGCTGGCAAAGGAGCGCCTATGATACAGGCACCAAACATCCCCGTCCAGCTCCGCTGCCTAAGAGCGATTTGCAAGAAGTGCCTTTTGGCTGCTGCTGTGTAATATTTTTTCTGTCCCAAGGCTGATGACTCCAGCAGCGATTCATGAATAGCTTCCTTTCTGAACTAAGACAAGTCAGAGTACGTGAGATGCTGCTCTGGATGTCACATTGGCCACTGATCCTACGAAATGGTGTGGCCACTGAGAGCATATTGAGGGGTGAGGACTGTGACTGGGGGGCACCACCTGCCAATAAAGGGTCCCTTACTGACACCGGACTGAGATTTCTTCTGCAAGCAGTGCTGGCATTTGTCTGTCCCGCACTTCACCCTAAATCTGACACTGTCCTCCTTCAGAGGACAAGGGATTTTTTTTTAATTAGCGACAGTTGCAAGGGAAGCTTTTAAGAATACCTTCCTGTGGAAACATTGCAGTGTTTTTCAAGCACTCTAATATCCTCTCAAAGTCACTTTCAAATAACTTCTCAGATGCCGTTTAGTGCAAGTATTGGCTTTCTTTACGTTTGCTGAAGGTCTGGCCTGGGATTCAACATTCCTGACTATCTTTGGTTATTGAGAGGGCTGAGGAATTTCTGAGCCCCGGGTGATGGAGGTAGCTGAGACTGAGAAAGGGTAGTGAGCAGGTGGGCTATGGACTGACTTGGCGATTTATTCCTGAGGTTTTTGCTTCCTTACTATTGCTCAGCAATACTTGTTCAATATTAAAACATTTTGTGGAAAGCTGTTTCTGTGAGCTGCGAGTGCATGCTGTCCTAACAAGGAGCCGCCACCTCACCTCCTGCTGCCAGTCTTTGCTTAAATACGGAGAGATTTTGTCACATCCCTTTTGCTCAAACCACCTCTGTTTGTGTTCTGCAGGAACCTTGGAGATAACGCCATCCGCTCCATTCAAGCAGACGCTTTTGCTAAGATGAAGAGCCTGCGGCAGCTGTAAGTAATTGTGCTGTGCACACCATTAAGGAGGCATGGATTTTTCTTGCCCTGGACGTGAGAAGTAGCACGTTGTTTGCAAGGGGGTGTTATTCACATTACCACTCATTTATATCCTCCTCCCGCTGTCCTCCTCGGCGGGGTATTTTTACACACGAGTAGCTGTCATGGGAACATCTTGCATTTAATAGTGAGTGAAATTAGATCATCGAGACAGGTTCCTCCAGCAGGTTCGCATCTGTGCAATTATTCATCTCCGCTCAGGAAGTCCAGCCCTGGTCCTGTTGCCATCTCTCCTTCTCACGCCGTCACAGCTTTAATCCCAGTGGCCCATCTGCTCCTCTGCCGTGCCTATGTTTAGGGTCCGCGTACAGCACTGACATTTCAGTGATAAGCACCATTTGAGCTGAATCCGCTTGTCATCCAGCCTTCTGGTGTAAAAATACGGATGTGTTATCAGAGCTGCTGCTTGTGCTCCAGCCTGGGCTCCGTGCTGTTATCAGACACTGTTTCTAGTCTTGCCTGGTTTCCTTTCCTCCTCTTCTCTATAAATATTTAATCCACGTCAGTGCATTTGCTGCATTCTGGAGTAGTGCAAAGTCTGTGGAACAAGGAGTCACTTCTTTGGTATTCGGGCAGGTTCAGGATCTTCTTCCTGACTTTGAAAATGGGAATCAGGGTAATGCTAGCAAGGACAGTGAGTACCTGTGACTGTGGAGTAAGACAAACGTTGCACGCTCACTGCCTCTTTGACCACTTTATCTGCTGCATCTATTGCATTGTTGAAACAAAACTGAGGAAAAAATCTGATCTAATTAGAGAAGAGCTTGTGGGATGCCAGATATTGTGAAGGAGCCTTTATGTCTTAGCAAAGGTGGCTTTCAGAGATGACATACAAGTGCAGAATACGTTTTATTAAAATCTTAAATCCTAAGGGTCTCTCTGACCTCTCCCAGCTAGCCAGCAGTGTTTATGCCATCACCTAATTTAGGGGCAGCACATCTGTCTAGGACAGCAAAGCAGACAAGTTTGGAAGGGCAAATCCCTGTGCTCCCTCATTCCATCCCTCTCCAGTCCACTTCTTCCTTTTCACTTTTCAGGGCTAGTTTCTTCAGGATTTCCCAAGATTTTCAGGTATAAAAACGGGAGGAGATTTACACCTTCCTACCACACAGTGCTGCAGTTGGGATTCTGCTGTGCTGTTGCTTCTCTGCTATTGCACAACCTGCAGCACTGCGGGGCAATTTCTCTGCAAGTCCCTGGGGCACCCCATGCATTTGGTGTGAGGGATCAGCCTGGCTTTTCCTAGGATCTTAGACCAAACCAGACCACTCTGAATTCCCTGTTGATGTAAACATGCAGCTCTCCACTACCCTCAGAGCTATGCTGAGCTACAATTTGGCCCAGATTTAAAAAAAAAAAAAAAGCTCCAAAAATGAAGCTCCCCTTCATTTGCATCTTTTTCCCATTTATTTTTTTTAACAGAAGCTGCTGAGTTACTGTTAGGATGCTGAGAAATGGTTTTGTACCATTTGTTTCCCAACTGGTCACTGCCTGCTGCCGGGGACCACTCTGAAAGTGGATAATAATTATAAGGCACCAGGGGGCACAGGACTGGGTTGCTGTATGCAGAGATGAAACGCTGCTTAAATGTGTGATGTATTTTGCTTCATTACTGCCTTGAGGACAGCCCTGCGCTCCTTTTTTCCTTCCACCCATGCTGAGGGGAGGGGAGGAATGTGACCAACATGAAAGGGCCGGGAGCTTTGCAGCCTTCTCTCCACGCAGGAGTCACAGCAGGCTCGTGTTGGTTTTGTTCCCCTGCAGCCACATAAACAGCGACAGCTTCCTCTGCGACTGCCAGCTGAAGTGGTTGCCCCCGTGGTTAGTGGAGAAGGAGCTGCAATCCTTCGTGGTGGCCACCTGCGCCCATCCTGAGTCACTGAAGAGCAAGAGCATTTTTGCCGTCCTGCCAGAAAGTTTTGTGTGTGGTAAGTCTTGCCTGTGTGTTTTGAGGTTGTATGAAGGGCAGAACTCACTTGGGAAACATTTTCTTTGACTACTAGCATGTTATTACGAGAGGGTTTCTGTTTTGTTTTGTTATTCAATGGGATCAAAGGAAGCCCAAGCCTGCATTTTAAAAATTTGTCATTGGCTACAATTTATTTCCCACCAAAACCACACAGCGCATTGCTTGCATGTAGTGTATTCCGTACAGAGCTCCCTGAGTATTAAATCAAAAGGGACTAATGCTTGTTCCAGTTCTGAACGGGGCAGCACAGCTGCACAGTCCTCTTGGGTTGATATTACCAAGACTGCAGCTATCATTTTATTCCTGCGGCGGCGCTTTGAGCTTGTTGTGTAGCCCTGTGTTCCTCGCTCATCTTTCCTCCCTCTTGGAAACAAGAGCAAAGTGTTAAGAAGAGCAGAATCCCTCCATTGCAGCTCCTTTTATTGGTCCAGGGAGGTGTCACACATAACCCACCGACCACTAACAGTTGCGTTATAATCTTCTTTTTGCTTCTGCTGCTGTTTTTTCATCTAAATGGTGTTCACCTACATAAACACCTGGTTTTGGGAGCCAGTCCCTGCTCAGTGGTGCCAAGCATCGTGGCTCCTAGGTGGGGCTGCACATGGCTGCTGGATGGAGAACTGAGCTTCTGCACACACCACTGAGCTCAGCTCAGCACGTGACTTGCATTAAAAACTGAGCGAAAGCTTTGTTCCAGCTGCTGTCCCACGTCCCTCAGGTCTGAGTGCTAGGGCTGATATATAGCCTCTGTCAGAGCGAGACCGGGAGGCTTGCTGCATTCGCGGGGAAGACACGATCACGAAGGCTCCATCTCCACAGCAACATCACAAAGTGAAGACAGTTTTGCTTCTCCAAGGCCTCCAGGCACACTAGTGTTCCTGGTTCCAGAGGCCTGGCTGCTTAATTAAACCTTAGTCAAATATTAAATTACACCATTTGTAGAAATCTAATAAATGAATCTGCTTGGAACCCTGCTAAAACCAACAGTCTTCAGGGCAGAGCAAGAGTGTACAAAGCTTTCCACCCTGGACGGGTGACAGGCGAATACAGCTGCTTCTGTTTTGAGTGCAGGCTGCAGTTATCCTAAACCAGGCTCCTGAGCCTTATCCGCAGAGGTGGCATTTGCAGCCCTGTGCTTTAGCTGCCCCCCTGCTCTCTCCTCCAGCTTTGTCCTAGCGCAGACCTTTTTGAGGTTCAGCCTCACTGGTGAGGGGAGATGGGCACCTTCAGGGTGCTTCAGGTCTCTGAGCCACTGCCTGACTCCGCTGATCTCAGCAGAAACCAGAGGAACAGAGCCCTGGAGCTGTGCACGGCACATCTGCGCTGTCCCAAAGGTGGAGCTGTGTAAGAGCAAGCAGTTTTTCTGGTGTACACAACAGTGGATGTACGGGCAGATGTGCAGTAATGTGCACTTCCACACTCGTTTTCTGTTGCATCTCTGCCTGTCCCAGTTTGCCCTCGCAGCCCAGCACTAACCGTGCTTGCTCTTGTCCCTCAGATGATGTCCCCAAGCCTCAGATCATCATCCAGCCTGAGACAACGGTGGCAGTCCTCGGCAAGGACATCCGCTTCACTTGCTCGGCTGCCAGCAGCAGCAGCTCCCCCATGATGTTTGCGTGGAAGAAGGACAACGAGATGCTGCACAACGCCGAGATTGAGAACTTTGCCCACGTGCGGGCGAAGGACGGGGAGGTGATGGAGTACACCACCATCCTGCACCTCCGCCACGTCACCTTCGCCCACGAAGGCCGCTACCAGTGCATCATCACCAACCACTTCGGCTCCACCTACTCCAGCAAGGCCCGGCTCACTGTTAATGGTGAGTAGAAAGCTGCTTTCTGGTTCCTGCCCTCACCCTGAGGTGGTTCAGTTCTCTGGGGCCCGCTTTTGGCTGGCTGTAACCCTCAGTTACTCCTGAGGGCCCATTCCTGCTGGTGAGAAGCTCCCAGCCAGTTCACACCAGCTTCTTGCATCGCTGGGTGCTGAGAAACGCTGTGTGAGGTGCACGGGCCAGGCTTGTGACGGCTGCCATGCAGCCAAGCACTTCTGCACACTCTCAGTGGCGTTAGTCACCTGTCTGTGGCTGTTCCAAAGAGTCTTTGCCCATAGGAATGAAAAAGGATAGAAATAAGAGTGATGATAGTGATTGAAAGCTCTCTGTAGGAGGGATAGTGGGGTTTGGTTCAGGTTAATTACAGAAGAAAATCAGTTCTGATCCCAGCTCGAACGATGCTGTGTGTGGGGGCACCTCGGCCAGGTACGTGCTGTAGAAATGTGGGGTTAGCCCTCAGCAGCTGAGATGTCTACAAGCCACCCGCATCCACGTCCTGCCTGGGAACCAAAGCAGTTTGAACTGCCTGGAAGACGGCGCGTTCCCCAGGGAACTGCTCACCTCTCTTCTTGTTTTTCTCCCACCAGTGCTGCCCTCCTTTATCAAAACTCCCCACGACATCACCAGCCGGACAGGGACGACGGCGCGGCTGGAGTGTGCGGCTGAAGGAGACCCCACCCCACAGATTGCCTGGCAGAAAGATGGGGGCACCGACTTCCCCGCCGCCCGGGAGCGCCGCATGCACGTCATGCCCGACGATGACGTCTTCTTCATCACCGATGTGAAGATCGAAGACATGGGCGTCTACAGCTGCACAGCTCAGAACCCCGCAGGGTCTGTGCTGGCCAACGCCACCCTGACTGTCCTGGGTAAGATGTCTTAGTGCCCCTGAGGGACCACGTGGGAACTGGAAGGGATTGCAGTCCAGGCTCTCTGGCAGTTGCAGACACAGAAATGGGACAGAGGTGGTACTTACTCTGTGTTAATCTTATTTCATCCTTTTACACTGTAGTTAACTAATGAAAAATACCCACTAATTAAAAAAGGAGCTTTGAGTCACATTTCCTCTTGTGCCAGGGAAGCCCCTCTAACCACGCTATTTCCTGGCTGGGAAAATTACTTCAAGAGGAAATTGCACTCCTCTTCTCAGGCCCTACCCGATTATCCATGTGTCAGCCATTGCCCCTGATCCTGGGGCATTTCTTTGCTGGGAAGACCAACGCCAGCTGGTTAAGAGAAGGCTTTGGTTGTGATTTGGTTGTGACCTGTCGTGGTGTGCTCCTGGGCCATGGCCACACAGCGCATTGCTGTGTATTTGTCTGCAGAAACACCAGTTGCGTTCAGTACTGTTAAAAGAAATTGTCACACCACAATAATTAATTTTGGCATTTATTCCCTGCAGAGACACCGTCTTTGATCCACCCGCTGGAGGACCACGTGGTGTCTGTAGGTGAGACCGTGGCTCTCCAGTGCAAAGCCACGGGGAGCCCACCCCCGCGCATCACCTGGCTGAAAGGCGACCAGCCCCTGGTGGTGACGGAAAGGCATCACTTCACCTCCGGCAACCAGCTGCTCATCGTCAGGAACGTTATCCTGGAAGACGCTGGGAAATACACCTGTGAAATGTCCAACACCCTGGGGACGGAGCGCGCGCACAGCCACGTCAGCATCTTGCAGTCCCTGGGCTGTCGGAAGGACCGTACCACGGTGGGCATCATCACCATCGCTGTGGTGTGCAGCATCGTGCTCACCTCCCTGGTCTGGGTCTGCATCATCTACCAAACCAGGAAGAAGAGCGAGGAGTACAGCGTCACCAACACAGGTACCTCTCCTCTCCTGCTGAGGCTTTCCTTAATCTTTTGTCTTGTCATGCTTCCCACTGAGGTCAGACTGGCATGTCGGGTAGCCACAATCACACTGGAAAAGCAATTGGCTTATCTCTGTGGTTCTCGTGGCTACCAAAGCTGGAACCAGCATTCGCTTGCTGCTGAAACATGCTTAGAGCTGTGTTTCTCTCCTTGGCTGGCTCTCCAGCTTGGTCTTTTCCACTTGGAAGTATTTTTTTTTTTTTTTTTCCCTTGCTTTGCTACTTTGATGTTGTATGACCATAAATGCTAACTCTCGAGACAGTCTAGTCTGGATTGCGCCCATGATGCTGGGAACCTGTCTTCTTGGGAATCTGTATTTTCAAAGGCTTTGTATTCAAAACATGGCAAGAATAGACTTGGAAGCTGGAAAACCCTTTTCCATGTTGCTTGTAAGAGCTGTTGTAACCCTACTGATGAGGGGCATCCCTCACTTTTTGGGCAAAGAAGAAGCGGTGTTTACTGCTTCCTGCTGAGCTTCAAAGGGGATCATTTGGTGCACTAAAAGTAAATGGTGCAGTGAAGAAAACCTCTCCTGCCCTCAACTTTATACAGCTTCTGTACAGAAGTGTGGCAGAACCAGCTTAGGGTTTCCGTTCCCTTCTTGGCTTTGCAGCCTTGCTGTGTTACTGCTAGCCTTAGAGTAGTGTGGCACGGTGTTCTGGAGACATGAGCTAGGTAGGAGGTATTGGGTACCATGTGGCTGGTGCAATGTGTAAGTAAGTAGGTGGGATTTTCTCTTCCTTTTTATTCAGTCCTGGTGTATTTGAGTTTCATTTGGTGTTTGTATGACAGAGGTGTGTGGCATTTTGGTGTTTGTATGACTGAAATCGCCTGATAAGAAGTGGGGAAAGCCCAGGGTAGCTAAGGGGGGGCTTAGACGGCCTGCTTAAGTGAATCAAAATGCCTGCTCCCCAGAAGTCTGTTGCTTATGACTTTGCCTCATTTGATTCAAGTCCTCGGTCTCCCATTCTGAATTTCTGGGGATAAGGATTTGCATGTTCTGAAGAGCCAGCTCCCCTGCAACCTACCTCGTACTGACCGTGCCAAATGCAAACATTCAGAATGGCTTAGCGGCATTAAACCTCCCAGCTTCGGGCTTTGAAAAGGCAGGAGCAGGGACTCTGAGGGGCACGGGGTATTTTGGCAGCTCAACTCTAATTCATTGCACTTAGGGAAAATAGCATGGTCCCAAACAATAATAATTTGGTCCCAAATTCCTCTTGCATATGTGCTTTTAGATGCAATGAAAGCAGAAGCCTTTACGTCCTACTAGGAATTCATATTTCTCTACTCCCATTGCTCTAGATGAGACTATTGTGCCTCCAGACGTGCCGAGCTACTTGTCTTCACAAGGGACTCTTTCTGACAGGCAGGAAGCGGTCGTCAGAGTAGATAACCAACAGCCTAACGGGCACGTAGACAGCAATGGTGAGAACCAGTTTAATTATTTCTTCTGTAATGCTGTATCTGAATTTGATATGAGGAGGGAAAAATCATAGTACAAAGTACTTAGTGCTTGTTAAGAGTTATCTGAAAGATCTTCACCATGTAATTCTCCAGCTACTGCACTTATGCAAAACAAGGATCTGTCTTTGGCTTTACAAAGCCACCCTCTCCCAGTAATAGCTACATTTATGCATGGAGACTGCTTCAGAAACTGCTCAGTCAGGCCCTAAGGAGTACCTTTTTGCTAATTTTGGATTAGTTCTTTGGCACCAGAGCTACCCCTGGTTAAGCTCTAGTAGAGAACACATTAGCATTGCCTGTCCCTGCCTTCGGGCTTAGAAATTAATGCTGGGATGTTACAGTATTTAAACACAGTACATTAGGGAGGAAAAGGTAAGTGTTCTGAACTAAGATTCTCCTACGATTATGCAGCATTTATTCTGTTAAACATTAACTTAAACTTATCTATTACCTCCATTGCTATTTTTCTCCCTTTTGGAGTTTTTACATGTATGTTAGAAATGAGGCTAACAGCCATTTGGCTGAGGGCAGATGGTTGTAATCCTAAGCCAGATGGTTCATTTGTTGCAGGTATGTGTCAGACTGATGCTGGAAGGTGTCCAGATGTTGAAGCTCCCACTGTAGGCTGCAGACAGCCAAAGCTATGTATCGGCTATAATAAAGACACTTGGAAAACTGAAGACATGGCTGATGGAATGCTTGTTCCAGATAAGACAGGTACAAAATCCATTAATCTGGAAAGGTATTTCGTGTTTGTACAGATCAGAAAGCCCTCCAAGTCAGACAGCATTAAGACAAGAAATTGTTACCTTCAGAAGAAAGAAAAAAAAAAAAAGCCCAGAATGATTCTCAGGTGTGAGTACACTAAATTTACTTTCTCCTGCTTGCTTTGATCCTCTATCAAACTTGGATAGTTTGAATTTGAGGAACCATCAGAAAGAGGCAGACTAAAGCTCATGATAGCCATGGCTTGCAGCTGGCTGATCGGTATTTTGATTTGAGCTAGTCCTGAAAGCACTTTCAAACTGAAGGTGTTAAAATTTTTCATGACCTTTAAAGGGGCTGCCAACTTCAAAGCTCAGCATTAAAAAAAAAAATCAAAATGTAAATGTTGGTTTGGGCACTCCACCTGATTATCTTCTCTTTGCCAATTTCTTGGTTCTATTTTTAGGATGAGTTTTGTGTTCTTGTGCTGTATTGTAGTGTCCACTGAAAAACAGCCAGTGAAACACATTTTCTCTCCAGGAGAAACTGTAAAGTTGAATAATGGAAAGCTGTCAAGTGCACTAAGAAAGTTAACTTTCAAACCTTAGAAGCTCCTTTCATCTTGCTGCTTTGAATTCTGCTCATCTGTTATTCCCACTAGCAGTAATAAAGCATCTTGAGATAACAATACATTTTGACAGTGATCTCTGTAAAGCAGCAGCACAAAAATAAGAAAGGTAACTTGGTATTATAAAACACTTATAGAAAAGTTTCACTTTCTAATTCTGCCTTGACTAGAAAGTTTAAAAAAGAAATAAGCACACAATTATTTAAAAAAGTCATCACTTCTTAGGAGTTAAACCAACCAAACAAAAGCTGCGAAATAAACGCATTAATTGGAACTACTTTTTGTGATAGGACAGCTACCGAGTTCCGAAAACCACAAGTATTTACTAGCCCTGTATAAAACCCGAGATGTGTCCATATTATTTAGTGAGAGATTCCCACACTGCTGAGGGACAGATGAGCTAAACAGAGTTGCCTTTTCCTTCCGCAATTTGTGTGCTCCGGTGCTGACACATTCCAGCTGGTTGACCCCTGTTTGTTGCTGTTCTCCCTTCCTCCCGCACAGGCTACGGCCTGCCAGTCGTGTGCGCGGACTGCAGCGGCAGCACGGACAGCATGAACGTCCACATTTACCCCAGGGAGCCGGAGTACTACTCCGAAGGCCTTAAGACTCTGGATAACACCTACCACAACGCACTGAGCAGCAAGGAGCGGAGCAGGAAGAGGGCTGCAGGCACCGGCCTTCTCCACCCGCAGCAGTGCAATGGGATCGCCAGCGGCAGGAGGACGGAAACGGACGGGACCCTGTACCCCAGCAACCACGACAGGATAGGGCCCGGGAGCACAACCAGCCCGCTGCTAGCAGACAAACACGGTACGTCGCCCCCCTGGGATGCCTTTCTCTCCCCAGCTGTTCCACAGCATCACTGGGGTTACATCAGAGCCCTGTTTTTTAACTTCTATCAGCTTTTTAAACTTGGCTCAAGAGTATGAATGACAGTGGCAGGGTTGGTTTTATGAGGCGCGCTGTCAGGCCAAGCCAGCTGGCTCCAACCACCAGCTAACCACACTGGTTCTTTCCTTTTCCGCAGGCTCTTCACAATCAGTAGCAAAGCCTTCAGAGCTTAACAACCTGAATTTGGTGAGAGCTTCACCATCAGGAGGGTCACTAAAGCAACTGAACGTGCTTCCTGAAGCTTCCCCAACACTACTGGACTTGCAGAGCGAAGCAGAAGTGAAACAGGCTCTCCTGTCCAACGGCTACGCACCCACGGCGTGCGACTCCATTCCTGAGTTCAAGCCACCAAACAGATCGATAGACTGAGAGGACAGACTGCCATGTGCAAATTAACAAACACGCTATTATTATTATTATTATTTTTTGCACAGAGTATATAGGCTACTTACTTCTACCTCAAATCCTGAACTGATGACCTGTCAAAGGCAACACAGCTGAGGTATGAGAAACAAGCTTGTATGGGGAACAAACTCCTGTTCGAGCGTCATCTGTCTGTACATAGTTTAAAACTTCCCTGAGAAGTATGAAGCGTTCAAAAGTTGACTTGCATATGAAGCACATAAATGCAAGGGATTATTGTGTAAAGAGAAAAGTATTTGATACAATTGTACATAAGAGTTTTCATATATAAATATATATATATATATAAATATATATATATCTTTTACAGAGGCTATTTTAATCTTTAGTGCATGGAAAACTGAGTGAAATTTTACAATTTTGGCAATATTGTTTTCAGTATCAGGTTGCTGTTAAACTTCGTGAGAGAAATAATTCTGGTGCCTTAAATGCATAAGCAGAACTTTAAAAAGCCAGACTGTTCCAAAGGGATTGTCCTCTTTTCAATGGAAGTTCCTTTAAATCAAGGATCAATTGGGTTACTTAGCACAAATTTCCTTCCCCTTTGAAATTTATTGCACTTAACACGTTTAAACAGAGATCTGCAACTGTTTCAAATGAAGTTTATACGAAAAAAAACAAACAAGCAGTGAGAAATTACATAGCAACCTGATTTTCTCCTGTTTGTGGAAGAACTTAAATTCCCTTAGTTTTCAAAATTGCAGAAAAATTAGTATTTGAACTGTGACTGTGCTACATTAGAGTGGACCACACAAGCAGCACTAAATAATTCAGCAACAGGGCAGAGCCCCAGAACTACCCTGCTATCATGGCTGGTGAACAGCCATTACCAAAATAAATAATTCATGCAGTAAACTGTGGGGTGGTCCCAGACATTGCACCCTGCAAAAGCCTCCTAGCAGAAGGCATTATCTGCCCACACGTGCTCTTACAGCCCTGCTCACCTACAGAGCCCAGTGCAGACATTTCCCCCCGAACGGACACAGCTTCACCTGTACAAGGTGCGCCTGGTGAGCCAGCCTGGCCCTGTGAAGCAGAAGGAACAACCTTGGCCAGTACAATGCATTTGCTACCCAAGAAAAACACATCTATTCTGGAGGGAGTTTGAACCCGTGCAGCTGTTTTGACAACAAAACCTAGGCCAACAGCTGTGCCATGAATTCATACAATGCTTTTACCTTTTTTTCCTACAACCCAGCATTAGGCTTTCTTGTTTGACACCACTACCCTGAGCTGCAGCCAGACTCTGTATGTGAATGTACCCGCCTCAAATGAATTACGGTGCTCCGTGCAGCAATGCTAAGCAATGCAGAAATACCCTCACTTAGAAGGGAAACTGTGTATTTAGGGTTGAAAGTTCTCTTTTAAATGGAAATGTCCCAAATATTTTATGTGGTCTTTTAAGTTCATCCATGAACGGGGGAAAAAAAATACCTACGTTGGTGAAACAGATCTTTGTCACGTCTAACTTCACTACAAAGCTTTTTGTTCCTAGAAAGGCTGCTTTCTGTTGGTACCTGTGGATGGAGGACTCCCTTCCAGCTATTTGTAATTTGAGTTCTGCTAATACGCGGTTGCTAACCCTGGTGATGACTACTTTGGGGAAAGGTTTTTTGGGGGAGTTGTTACTTTTTTCCTTAGGAGCAACACAAACGCCAGTCCCACTGAAGCAGAGTCTAGTGGAAATCCACCTTTGTTAGGGCTGTGGCTCAAAACAAGCGCTAGAAATAGGGGCAGAAAGGCTGCATTTGGGGTTCAGATTCATTACTTCTGGATCTGCCTGAGCCCTACCACGCAAAGAAGCTGCACGCTGCCCTGCACCAGCACAGCACCCATTCATTTTAAGCTGTTCATGCCCAACCTTAGCTCAAGAAGCCACCACCTCCCCTCAGGGAAGGACCTCTGCCTTTTGCCTAGCAGCTGGGGGGAGTCTGGCCGCAAGCTATCCCCCCGAGCCCCCCGTTAATGAAGCAAGGCGTAATTGAGCCACGTACCTGTCTGTACCAGTCCTGACCATTGACGCATTTGCACTTTGAGACAGGTGGCTAACGATGTTGAGTGCCAAGCCTACTCCAAGAAAAGGAAGAGGACGTTAGACAATTATAAACCGAGCGCGTTTTTCCCTTTAGTCAAGGGCTAAAGGAACCAACTGACAAGGGGAAAACAGTGGGACCGGGAAGAGGGGGAAAGACCGACCCAACTGCCTCCTTGGGCTGGCGACGCGTCATCACCACTGCAGACACAAAGCATATTTGCCACGTTAACATTTGCAAATGATGTTTCTAAATAAAGTTAACTGCCTAACGTTATGACTTCCACTAAATATGTGAATTTGCTGCTTCTAAGAGGCAATGTGAAAGAGGAAGTATTACTTTTGTGTACAAAGTTATTTATTTATTAGAAAATTTGGTACAATGTTGTACATTGACAAACATGTAAGATATTGAAGTGTCTAACAAATGGCATTGAAGTGTCTTTAATAAAGGTTCATTTATAATATTACAGCTTTTTTGTTGAGTGAGCTTTTGGGAGTTTCAGTTGAAAATTAAATAAAATTCTAATCCATTGCTACACTCTTTTCTGTCTTTCTCTAATGAAAATGCAGAGTAACTGCCAGAATATCCGCTTGTGAAATTAGATCCCCAAATTTAACATCAGATACTGCGGATCAGCGTGAGATTCTGGCAGTCGGGCTTGTGGATGGGGTGGAATTTGGGGGCTGCATTGAAAGATACAATAAAGAACTCATACGAAACACACTTCTAAGATATCAGCTGCGTAAGTATCTGGCAAGTACCCTTCTCTTGGCACTGAGAGCAAAACAGATGGGGGTGGGTTAGTGTGTAAAAAAACAGGGCCAGGACAGCCCCAGAGTCAGCTGCAGTTTTGAACACCTCTGGCTTGCTCAAATCCAAACCCCACCCTCTACAGAAATTCCGGAGGCAGCTTTGGAGATAAGCATGAATTTTTGCTCTAGCTAAAATCTCAACTCAATTTCTGTATATCATTTACAAAATAAAGTATTTCCTTCTCCAAATTCTAACCTTGAATATAATGCAGCTTTTCTGAGACTACACTGCTAAATCCCTTAACACATTAAAGTACTTTAAAATGGAAAAGCAAGAGCCTTTAAGAAGCTGCTGCCTTGAGCTTCAAGTTTTCTTATCCACATTATCTCAGTAACAAAATAAAATGAATTTTTCAAGTTTCAGTAAACTTGAAATAACAGCCAAAACGTGGCTAAACCTCAAGGCAAACAGGCAGGATGGGAAAAGAAAACAAACAACCGAGGAGCATTTGCCAAGTTCCCCCCTAGTCCCATCACCAAAGGTGCCATTTGCAGCGGGCTCAGCCAGCTGCGTGCACACCAGCCCCTCGCCACCACTCGCCTGGTGCCGTGCCGAGATGCAGAGCCGGTCTGTCAGCGCGAGGGACAAGGGAGCAGCGTGGGGGCTGCTGGAAATGCTGAACAGGTCGGCGAGGCCAGCCTGGATATGATACCTGGTTTTGGCAGCACAGCTGGAAGGTGTTGGGTCTCACTCAGGTGGCAGCGCCACTTTGTGTGGCAAGAGGCACGTGTCCAGGTGGGGTCTGAGCCTTGCCTCACCTGCTGCGTGTTCAACCTCGGCAAACTAAAGCAGGAGCACACGCTGATTCGCACAGCCATTAATAAGTTAGCACGGACAAACAACCTTAATACAACAGCATTGCAACAGTCTCCCCCCACCCCATGCACTGTTGTTTGCCAAAAATTTGGCTTTTTTTTTTTTTTTAAGTGGTGATGACAAAACTGGTTATGTAAATATTAAGTAACAACAACAACAACCCAGTATTTGGACCCGAGGACTACGAGGCGTGATTACTTTCAGCTCAAGTAATTAAACAGCCCAACTGCAGCCCTAGCCCCCTCAGCTGCTTGAAGAGCTTTAACAGAAAATATGAGTTCACTTTTAAGACTAGGTAATAAATCTCTCCCCCACCCCCCGTGCCCCTAAAATCAGGCCTGCTCTACATAAAGCTTCATAAACGACACAGCCGTGGACGTGCTGTGCTGTGCCAGGGCAACTGGGAGACGCAACCAGCCAAGATCGGACTGGGTTGAAATTCACCATTTTAATTGAAGCTAATTTGTAAGAATTACGGCCTTTGTTTCGCACATTTGACTCATTCGTCAATTATTTTCTAAGTTTTGGACTCCACAAAGCCTGATGGCTGTGTCAGGGGATGACAGGGCAATAAAACAGCCCCCCTCATGACCGATGCCCATGGCTGTGTCTCGGGGCAGCACTGCCCATTGCTCCGGGCTGAGGCTCTGCCCATGCCCCTGCCCCCAGACTCCCTACACCTGGGCGGCTTCCCAGTGAGGAGCACACCCTAAGGTTAAGTTAGAGCACCCCAAGGTGCTCTAACCCTGGCCGATCATTTTTTCCCCCGTGTTCTGGTGATCATTTTAACCCAGTAATTTCACCACCCGTTCACCAAGCTTGTCCCAGCACCAGCCTGGCCCCACAGCTCCTCCTTCCCAACAGGAGAGCAGCACCAGAGGTTCCCTCTGCTTGCCAGCAGCCCCCTGAGCCCTTTGGGTCCGTCCATATTTCGCCAGGAGAACTTGGGCGTTCTCCCTGCCCTGCCTTCCCAGCCTCCCTCCTGGGCTTTACCATTTCCAAACTCCTGCTCCTTCAGCTGCTGAGGGAGGAAGACCTAAAAAAGGCCCAACTGCACGTCTTTGCGGAGGCACAGCTGTAAAATAATCCAACCCCGGGCTTTTACTGGAGAAATGTGAGTCTAATTAATAAAGCTGCACTGGTGACCAGGCAGGAATGCTTGCTGTGCACCTGTAGGTATAAACAGGAATATAAACTTTCACAAATATGGCTCAAATCAGAAACAAATGGATTATTGTCTTTTACAAAGAGCCCTCCCAACCCGGAATACTTTCAGTGCTGTAGGAGGGCAGCAGGCCGTAACTCTATCGGCCCCTTCCACCAGCAGTAAAACCCTCCCCGCGTTACGAGGCAGGTGCCACCGAATTATGAAAACTTGCTTTATTTCAGCCTCCCCGCCATCCGGAGGTTTGCAGAACACTTCCCCTGCAGGAGTTCTCCCAACGCCTTTCTCAGGCACCGTAATTAGCTGTTTACCCCCCAAACATCACTTTTTTTTGGCACGACTCTCCCGATGACTTCACTCACTTTCCGTGCAGGAAAATTTCACATTTGGGAAATGGGATTATTTGAGGATTTACTTTTCTCTAACAGCGAGAGCGGCGCTCGGGCTGCTCGGCAGCTGCTGCGGGCACGGCGAGGAGGCGGCAGGAGAGGAAGGCTGAGCTCACGGCCGGGCTCCTCCGGCTCTTCACAGGACAGAGGCAGGAGCTGGGTCAGAGCAGCAGCTCGCGCGTCTTCTCGTAGGTCCCCAGGAAGATGAACCCTCCCAGGCTGATGGCTGCCATCCGCGGGACAACACCTGCAAACAAGCTGAAGGCAAAGGAAAGGCGGCTTCAGGGTGAGTGGCTGCTGTGTGGCTGCCTGCAGGGGCTTCAGAAAACAAAGCCAAGAGAAACCGTCTCAGATAAGAAGTGCCCTGTGTCCCGCCACCCCATCCAGCCTTAGCAGAGGTGCACTGAGGCCAGGACCTGCTCTCTCTGCCAGGAGCTACCCCACCACAGACCCAGCACCACGGCCAATCCCCAAAAACACACAGCGTGATCAGCCACTGACGGGTTTTAGGTGCCTGATCCTAACAGCTCTTGGAAGTTAACAGGGAACTGATGCAAAGCCCATCACCCTACACATCTAAGCTCACAGTTGGTCTAATAACTCCACGACAGCCCGGCGTATCCTCCCCGAGGATTACAGGCTTCATTACAGGCTTCCTTCGTTGCGAGCAAGGATTAAACACCAGGCTCGGACCTATTTGGCTTCCTCTGCCGACTGAGCGCCCGCACCGTGGGAGGCCTCGTGCAGCGAGCTCCAGATGGGCTGCTACGGGAATGCCTGCTGCCCTGGGCTCTGCCGCCGAGCTCCCCACTGCTCCTGCCCAGCTCAGGGCCTCATGCCATGCCCTCGTGCCATGCCCTGAGAGAAAAAGCATGCCCCGAGCAGCCGGGGTGCTCAGCAGCTCTCACTGCGCTGCTCAGGGCGAGCTGTGCCTGCGGGAACTCCACTTTCCGCTGTAATGAGCTTTGCTAAGGAGCCTGGAGCAGCCGGGCAGATGGAAACATTTTATGGCTTTACTAGACAGCAATTGGGTCTATTACCATAATGACAGCTTTAAACCAGAGTAATTTGTACAAGGCATGTACGGACAGAGCGCTGGTGGGGTAAATCCTCCGGTGCAGCACCCCGCTGCGTCAGGCAGCCCCAGCGCAGGAGCAGCATCACCAGAGCTGCACGTTCAAGACCAAACAGGGGCAGATAACTGAGTTACCCGGGAGCTGCAGCCCTGGCAGCACCCACTGCTGGCCATAACCCCCGGGATCCCTGGCCCTGCTCCATTTCCTCACCTGCCCCCACGAATCTGTCCCCCGCAGCCCCTCTGCTGCAGGTCTGACCCAAAGCGGACCCCTCCGAACCACATCTGCCCCATCACCTGATGAATTTTATTCTATTTTTTTTTCCCGCTGGCCCTATCAGAAACTCCTCTGTGGGGCACAGCTCCACAATCCTTTCCCACCGGTCAAATGGCACTTGGCTTTCTCACCGAGCTGGGAAGCTTCCTCCACGGCTTTCACAGCGCTCCTTGCACGAAAAGCAGTCGGAAAAGCTGCAACCTGCAGGTGGGAGGGCTCCATCACCCTGCTGGTGAGAGCGAAGAGCCACAGGGATCCATCCACCTCATCCCTGCTCCGTGTCCTGCAGGCTGTCCCGGCACAGAGCGGGCCCGTCAGGCCTCGCGGCGTGAAGCAGGGGGATTTACTAGGTGCAAAACAGGAAGCCGAGCCCCGCGCTCTGGTTTTAATAAGGTGGCAATAAGCAATGCATCTTTCTGCCCCTAGAATTCCTCCTCTTCAAATACTAGATTTATTAGAGACGCCGTAAATCAATTCGTGTTGCAACTAGCCAAAAAAGCCTGACATTTTTATTGTTTTTGATTAATAGATTTATAATTGGCAGCAGGCATGGCAGTCTCAGCGTTTATTTTTCCCAAGACTTTCTTCCTTTTCCTTGTAGCTGACGCAGCTTGGCCTACTTTACATTTTCCTTCTTCTCCAGATCACTTATTGTTTTGATTTCGATTGCGTTGCGTTCCCTTTGGTCCCAGGCCCCGGGTACTATCTTTAGGCAGAGTTTAATTTGGGGCTGTTTAGAAAAGGGCACTGCTGAAACACCCTGAAGGGAACCCAAACGCACATTTTCTGCTCTCTGCTTCCCCTGCCGACCCCCTGCCTGTTTATGCCCTTCGGTGCTCGACTTCCAGAGGTAGCACAAGCGGCCTCGCTTCTCTCAGCCCCCCTGAAACCAAGCCCTAGAGCCCACCAGGAGGACCTGAAGCTCGTCCACAG